CACACACACACACACACACACACACATTACGTCTGCCTCTCTTGCTCACTCTCTCACTCCTTGGACCGCTCACAGTCGCTCACTGAATGCACTCGCATAGTAACCCTTTCTCTCTCTCTCTCCTATTGGCTTCTACCCCACGGCTATGGTGGCCAACTTCTTCCTCTGTAACCCTGGCTATGGCGCATGGGCACCCTTCCTCTTCTTCCATGAATGGTTGCCCAAATCCACCCGTTGCACAAGTGCTACAGCAGAGCTTTTGCAACATGCGAATTGACAAGTGACCCAATCAAGCACTGTAGCATCTATAAATAGCAGCTGAAGCTGCTGAAGTGAATCGTTGTCAGCTCAGCACCGGCCGCAGTTTGCCAGTCCCGGAACTTAGCGGACTTTCCCAAGGTGGCGCTGCAAAATTGGAGTTTGGGCCTGTGGACTTTTCCCGTCGGGTACCGGGCCTATGACTTCTAACGGCTTACCTACCAAACTCTACAACGCTTCGGACCCGAAAATAACGCCCGGGCGGTATATTTAACCCTAAAAGCTCAGATTTTTGTTTTTACCCAATTTTTTTTCGAACAGAATGCCTGGGTCTAGGTGGGTACCAGTCCAGTAGTCTGAGTCTGGGGCCTGTAGCGGACAATATCAGACCTGCAATAATGTTTCCCTTGGAAAGGAGGATGGTACCGGTTGCTTGGGAGGCTGAGCGGCCTGGAAAGTCACCGCCCAAGGGGCAAGCTGCTCGGTATATCTCAGGGAGGAGCAATGCGGTCCTCCTGATTTGCAGTGTTCAAGTTTGGGCATCACGCTGCTGGAGCGCTACAGGGAAGAGCGCTGGTGTCGGCAGCACTGGGGACGAGGAGCGCCTGGCCCACCTTTGGCTATGATGGAGCGGACCAGGTAGGAGGAGGAAGAAGGGACTTGGCGGAGAGTGGCGGAGGTACTTGCCTGGCTATGGTGGACGGCACCTTCATCTCCTTGGTTGGCGCTGCACCTGGAAGGCCCCCGCGGGGGTGTGCTGCTTCAAGAAGGCTTCAGGGAAGAGTTAGGCATGGCGGTCTGAGTAGTAGGGGACATATCTGCTTTTGCGTTGCCCTCTGAACATCGGGGCAGGGCCCCACTAGTCTGCCATAGCCACCACCATTCGGGGTAGTAGAAGGTGTAAGTCGTGGCTATGGTGGACCTCATTGGTTGCTAGCAGTAAGGAGGAGATTCGGATATTGGTTCTGTTTTAGTCATTCATTGTTATTATTATTATTTATTGAAAGATGAGGATGGGTGAGATAAGGAGGATGAAGTGAGTTGGCGAGCGTTTCCAAGTTCTTTCATTTCATTTGCAATTGAGCGGCATTGTCTTTCCTTGTGTTATTGCACTTCGGAATAGCCATGATCATAACAGAATGCTGCAAACACCAGGCTGCCTTGTAATGGATGGGAACGCACCACAGCATCTTGTTTTGTAACCACTTCTCGTAGTTCAATGCGCGCTCGGGCCTCTGCAAGCCTGACTAGACTCTCAAGCTGACGAAGAGTAATTGGTGTGCTGTCTCCAGACTGCCGGCGCTCTCGTAGTCGAAGGTAGAAGTTTTGTATTACTTGACATGCTTCCTCTGACATCCTACCCCATAAGGCACAGTCACCAAAGAGTTGAGAAAAGAAATCATTCTTGAAATTAAGCACTCTGCAGTAAGCCCATACCACAGAAGGTTAACAAAGTGCAAAGCAATTTGTAAATCAAGCCTTAAAGCATTCCAATGATTAGCAGAAGAAACAAATGCCAACACACTACTAACCAAAGAGAACAGGACAGAACAGAGACAACAAACTAGATCATGTGACATGGCTTTTTTGGTTGTGCTCTCTCTCTCTCTCTCTCTCTCTCTCTCTCTCTCTCTCTCTCTCTCTC